CAAGTTGTGACAACAAGCATTACTGCTCAACAAACGCAAATAACGGATTTGATTCAAGTAAAGAAGCAGGATGCTGAGAAAGTAAAGGAAATGGCTGAGACAACGCAGATAGTGAGGAAAAAAGTGCAAAAATTGGAAAAGAAAACTGTATCTTTGGAAGATCAGATGCTGCAAGTGCAAATGGATAAGGCTAATATGGTCCTGCGCTTCCAAGGGGTGCCAGAGAAAAGAGGAGAGAATCTTAAAGAACTTATGAGTGAGCTACTTGCCCCAGTAGCAGATATAAAGGCGGACTTGCTACTCAACGACATGGATGTGGCCTACAGGTCATATTCAGGATACATAAAGAAAAATAATCTGCCTGGGGAAATTGTAGTAAGATTCTCGAAGAGGCACGTCAGGGATGCTATCCTGAAAGCAGTTGCTGCGACACCCCTGAAGGTGGGGGAGAATGCTGTCAGAACGCTAAAGGATATTCCATTTGAAGTAAGACAACACAGAAAGAAATACAAAGAACTTGTGTTTTTCCTCCAAACAAACTCAATTGGATATAAATGGCTGTTTCCAGAAGGAGTAATATTCAAGATCAAGGAGAAGAAGGTCAAGATTGACTCTGTTCTTAAAGGTCAAGAGTTTCTAAAGGAGCAGCTGGGAAGGCCAGAGGATGAGAAAAAAGAAGAGGACGATAAGTCCAGTGGAGAGCTGGAAACTGGTTCGTCTGGTGAGGACTCTTTGTCTGAGCAGGGGGCATCAGCCCCCAAAAGTTCCTACAAACTGCGGAAGAGAGAGAAGAAGAAGTAAAGGCTGAAGGACTCTGAATTGTGCCTTTGAGAACTTTGGTTCTAGGGGAGAATTGGGGGCACTGTTATTGGGCAATTAAATGTAACTGGGGATGGTTAAAAGGGTTAAAAGATTGACACAGTTCATAAGAAGTACAAAGATGAAAAGTCTGAATGAAGTATAAAAAGCTAGTTGGAGATCTACTCTCTTGGGTTTTTAGTTAGTAGTGAGTTCTTTACTTTCTCCCTTATATGTAGCTTTCCCTTTCCCTTTTTTCTGTTCTAGCTTTTGTAGTGTTTAAAAAATCAATAAAAAATCCCCTCCGGGGGCTTTAAAAAAATAAAATTAAAATTAAAAGACCAAAACCTGCGCATGCGCTTGTCTTCCCATGCGCTTGGGGGTACATACAAACTAAAAAAGACCAAAATAAAAGCAAGTGCCTGTTTGCACATGCGCATAACTTAAACCGGAAACACAAAAAAGGGGGGGTAGCGCGGTCACAGCGGATTGCTGTTCAGATACCAAAACCGCGGATACAAAACGTGAGATATCGGAAAACACCTTTTCCAACGGGTGTCAGAAAACGCGGATAAAAAGAGTGGAAACCGCGGGACTCAGCCCGCTTCGGTGCGGGAGGCGGGTTTGCCAATATGAACAGGAAACTTTAATGCGCAAGGGATCAGCAGCGAAGCCCGCACTAAATGTCCGTGTGACCTGACCCTTAGTCAGTAGTGGATATAATGTTATAGCAGTCCATTTACTAGTGAGTTTCTTAAAAGAAGCCATGAAGAAGTCTGCTGCTGGTGGGTGGGCGAATGGCAACCCAAGGACAGCAAGAGGAAAATCACCCATGTGGACCTTTTGTGGTCGCTGTGGCCTATTTTATTTATTTCATTCTTTACATCGTTTCTAGTCCGCCTTTCTCACTTGGACTCAAGGCAGATTACACAGAGTGAGTCAATACAACTGACGGATGAATCATTAATAATTTTTCCAAGTCACTTTGTGAATCATTTAACACAGTGAGATTTTATTGCCTACGTAGAAAAGCCCTCTGGAATGACTCAGTTCTGCATCGTTTGCGGAAACCCAGGAGACTGCTTTTCATGCCTCTGCATCTGCATCACCAGTGAAAACACCCCAGGGACTTGTGCCACGTGTAGCAGCTACCTTAGTGAGAAAATAGAAACAGTACCAATCCCATGGGTAGCTAGATTCGAGTCTCGTAGCACCTTAGTGTAGTATGAATGGGAATATAAAGATTTTTATATAGGTTTTTTTCTTCTTGATTGCTCATATTCATATTTTTTCCTGGTTTTATGGATGTCTCTTTTAAGTGATATTTTATTAGAATGTACGAAAGGCCTATTATATAGAAGGCTTCCCTCTTGTAGGTCTGATATTGCTAGCAGACAACATAATAGGTACAAAGTTCATTATTCTGTAGTTTTTAAGGGCAAAGCCTTGCAATATCTGGGTCAGAGAAGATTTTAGTCTCGTATCAGTAAAAAATACTTTTGTTTGGGTTATGAAAAATCCTTGCCCATTATCATTTAGGTTAGGTTAAGTAAACACTTAGGTTTTACGTAGATTTAACGTAGATATATGTTTCTTTACATCTGACAGATCAGAGGCTTATTATTCAAACGACCACTGTCTTCTGTAACCAATTATGGTTTTTGAATATTGTTTTCTTGATTATGTCAGTCCATGTATAAAATATCATGTATTTCCTGAATATGTTCAGAATATGTTCAAGAACAAGAAGAAGATGAAGAAGAAAAAGAAGAAAATTGAAATAAAACATAGATCTTCCTCCTCATTTGACTTCATTTTTGACATGGAATCTAATACGTACAACGTTAGGGAGCAACAAGAGTTTCAGGGTATAAGATCTGGAGAGTTAAAACTCCCTTTGCCAGACATGAAACTCATCTCTGAAAGGGAGTGTGTTGACTCTCGGACGTTTCTACCCTGAATCTCTTGTTGGTCTCTAAGGTGCTACCAGACTCGAATCTGCTTTACCGCAGACCAACGTGGCAACCCTGTGAAACAAAATCCGCGGGTGGCACTGGAATTCCTGCACACGTGCAAGAAGCTGCCAAAGCGATAGGCATGTACATGAATGGGGATGGCATCTCAAGCACAGTGAGAATGAGGTAGGGGACCAGGGGGGGTAAGGACCAAAGCAATAAAGGAGGGAGTTGCCATTTGGGATCAGCCTCTGCTTTGGGTCTTTTCAGAAGAGTCTGCCCAGAAATCAAGTTTCTTGCATTTGAAGCCCTGGATCCGAAGGGGACAGGGCTAACTGTGGTAACTCAGCACAGGAGGGAAGATGCTTCCAAAGACATTCTCTTCACTATCATTGCTTCTCATGCTTCTGGCTGAGCCCTGATGCTCAACGTACACCCGGGGCTGAGCGTCAAGCAAAGTCCTAGCATTCAAGGGAGGCGAGAATTGCAAACAGGGACCAGTAGTAAGTGTTTATTCGGTGCATAACCAGCACAATTCAGTTAAAACAGTTTAAAACCTCTAGGGTTCATTCATAAAACATTTATAAACCAATCTAACAGGGACCAGCAAGAGAGCAGAGTCAAGGGGCCCAGCTGCCAACGACTGTGTGGCACCTTGTTTATCTTCTTGCATTTTTGTAAGTTGCTTTTTTTCCTGCCATCTAACACAGGGAGGCTTATGCAGGCAGTCGCCCTTTCAAGCACTACTGGCTACTGGACTCAGCTTCAGTAAACAGACTGCTGAATCACGTGCCCGGGGGGGGGGGGGGGGGCTGACATGCCCTGTGTTGGTCCCCACTTCTGCTGTACTGTTATGCCAACGTTGCTAATGGATTCAAGGGAATACTGAACACACCACACTCTTTTCCCCCATGCGTAATTGCCAGTTCTCTGAATGCTACGGTTGTGCACAACAGAGCCAGAGATGAAGCATGCAGGTCTCCCCCAAACCACTTCCCAAAGTTGCCCAAACAGCAAGACGCTTAGGAGAGAGCTGAGCACGGCAGGCTGACCTTTCCTCGTCCCACTCTTCCCCCAAAACAAACAGTCTGAGTCTCTGCAGTTCAAGAATGTGCAGCTTGCACCCCCAGGTCCCTCCTTCCTATGACTCAGAGCTCGAGCTTTCCATGTGCCCCCCCCCGCCCCCGCCGCCCACAACAAGGTCCAATATCCATTTCTCCCTCCCAACCCTTCCCCCAGCTTCCACCGTCCAAAAAGTCAGGTTCCTTACAAAGTTGGTGGTGACTTGTGGGTGGTCGAGAGGCAGGTATGTCCCCGGTGCAGCAGGCAAAGAGGTCCGCAGGAAGGCAGTGGGGAGCAGCAGCAGGGCCCTGCGCAAAGTGGGGCTCCCCATGGACCGCCAGGCTGGAGCTCATCTGGGCCAGAACATGGCTGTTGCTAAATAGGCAGATCTCAGCAATCCTAGGCCAGGCAGCTGCAGGCGAGTCTCCACCCCTCCTCCTCTGCAGGACGTGGTGCTCTGCCCTGCCCCAGCCTAACTCGACTTGCTGGGCTGCATTCCTCCGCTGCTGCTGCCGCCGCTGCCTAGCACGCTATCCCTCGTTGCTGCTATGCAGAGGGTATTCTCCTCTACTGTCCTAGCATTATTTGGGGGGAATTCTTTGTCATATCTCTGAGAGGACATAATGTTGCTTGGATTAATCATTTCCAGCCCATGGGAAGGGGCTAAGGGTTCCTGTGAAACTATGAGCAAGGGTCTCCCGTCCCCTAGAGAAAAATGCATCGCCTTGCAGGTTTGCAGCCCCTCCTAGGCTGCCGGAGCAACCCTGCCGTGTCCTTCTGACAGCCCTTTGGAAATAAGGCATTCTTATCCCCATTTTACAGAAGAGATGGGAGAGAGACTGAGGCTGAAGAAATACTGGTGGGATATTGCCGAACGAGTGAAGCTTCTTGTGGCAACTGAATGGCATCTCTTCGTAGATGATGCAGCGCAATCCTAAACAGAGCTCCGCCCTTCTAAGTTCATTGATCTTGGTGGACTTTTAGAAGGGTGGAATTCTGTTTTGGATTGGACTGACAGCTCCAAGGACCTGTCCTGCTACGTAGCTTTTCTCACTGAAGCCATAGCTAAGATGGAATATCCAATCATATCCCTCCCTGTGGTTATTGGCAGAACAGTCAGGATGGAGCCATCCAAAGACATGGTAGAGGTCTTTTGTAAACATGAGAGCCTGGAGACCAAGCCCTAAGAGGAAAGGCTGAGGATTTGGGAATGTTTGGTTTGGAGAAGAGGAGGTTGACAGGGGACATGATTGCTTTCTTTAAGTACTTGAAAGGCTGTCAGAGTAGGGCAGGGAGCTGTTCCTGTTGGCAGCAGAGGATACAATTCGCAGCAATGGGTTTAAATTGTGGGCAGAAAAGCACCTGCTGGATATTAGGAAAACATGTTTTACAGGAAGAGTAGTCCAGTGGTGGAATGGGCTGCCTAGGGAGGTGGTGAGCTCTGCCTCACTGGCAGTCTTCTGGCAGCAGCTGGACAAACACTTGTCAGGGATGCTCTAGGCTGATCCTGCATTGAGCAGGGGGGTGGACTAGATGGCTTGTATGGCCCCTTCCAACTCTGTGATTCTAGGATTCTATCCCCTAGTGCGCAGGGAAACAGGTGCTTTTAAAAAGTAAAGAACCTCTCCTCCCACTAACGAGACAGCTCAATTAAGTCAGAAAATGCTCATTGTCCCCAAGAGCTAATAAAAAGAGAAGGTGTAGTGTTGTCACCACCCAGGTGGGACCTGGAGATTTCCTGGAATTACAAGTGATGTCCAGGTGACAGAGATCAATTTGTCTGGATAAAATGGCTGCTATGGAGGGTGGACTCCATAGCATTATTATAATCCACCGAGGTCCTTCCCCTCTCCAGCCCCTGCCCTCCCCAGGTTCAAACCCCAAAACTCCAGGAATTTCCCAACCTGGAGTTGGCAACCCTAATTAGGAACGTGTGGGAGAAATTGGTCTACTCTACCTTCTGATAGCATATAGGAACCTAAGGGGTGTGTGGGGTGCACATCCTGTGGCCCCAATTTCCAACCACATACCCAACTCTTTTATGAAGCAGTGGGAGGAAGAGGTACAAAATACCTTCCTCCCCGCACTCCGCTTCTCAGATTTGAGCTGCGAACAGCAGCTTCCTGCTTCAAACCTCTCTATGCTTCACACCTCAGTGCCATTGGGGATTGGTGCCACCATGTGTGAGACTGCTGAGGTTCAGAGCTGGGTGAGCAGGAAGGAAATGATCCATCCCTGAGAGATCGACTGTCTCTCATAAACCATCTGTCTCACACATCTGTCTTGCTGAAAAGTACTGAGACTGACGAGTGATTACAGCTCTCATTAGGGATCCCAAGTCCCCCCGGGGGGCGGGGAAACCCCCGCCCCAAAAGCCCGTTCCCCGGCACCGCCGGATCGGGCCCTGGGGGGAACTCCACCCCGATGTGCGCGTCACCCGGAAGTGACACAGGCACGCCGGGCACGCTGGGGGCGGGGCCACAGCCATACAAGGGAAAACTCTATGGTTTTCCCTTGTATGGCCGTGGCCCCGCCCCCAGCGTGCCTGGCGTCCTCCCGTCACTTCCGGGTGACGTGCGTGCGGCGCGCACGCACAAGACGCCAGCCGGGAGCCGCCCACTCCCGGTGAAGATAGACTTGGCAACCCTAGCTCTCATACTTTTATTAGTGCAGAACAAGACAACTTTTTCCGGCTCGCAGGCCGGCTTATATTCCCAGTGAAACCACCACCCATAACACCCCCCCCACACCGCAATAGGCTATTTACAGTGGCCGAGAGTTCCACAGGCTCTCGGCCAGGAGCCCAGCCCTCCGATTGGTGCGGGCTAGGATCCGCATAGTCCATTGTTCTCATGATCGAAGCTTGAAGGTTTCACCTGACCATGTGGAGCCCTAGTCTGCCACGCGGTCGGGACTGGATACATTACACCCCTCCCCCATTGGTCCTTGAGGGGGAAATTAGGGTCAGGGGATTTGCAGCACGAGGTGTGTATTCTCTCACCCTACCTTTGCTGGTCCGCCATGCTGTAAGCTTCTAACAGTGTGCCTTTAATTTAATCAGAGAGACTCTAGTGGTACTAGGCAACTCATCCTCACCAGGCTGGTTAATACCACAGATGGCTTCAAGCCATCTCACAGCTACACTTAGGGTTGCCGGCTGTAGGTTGAGAAATACCTGGAGATTTTGAGGATTAAGCTTGGGGAGGGTGGGGTTTGGGGAGGAAGCTCAGCAGGGTGCAATGCCACAGACTACACACTCTGAAGCAGCCATTTTCTCTGGGGGAGCTGATCTGTGTCATCTGGAGATCAGCTGTGATAGCAGATCTCCAGGCCCCACCTGGAGGTTGGTAATCCCAGCTACTCTGTTTCCGCGACAGTGCTGGCTTTCTAATGCTGTTTCCCTACTGTGTCAGTGCAAGATTCAGGACTTGGATACCAGGAGTCAGAAGCTGGGGATCACAGGCCTTTTGATGCCCTGGGAATGCAGTCTGTGTGGGGAAATGCAGCTGTAACTCTCCCACAGCACTTCAAACCTGACCAACGGTATAAATTATAAGCAACACAGATAGTTGCAACATAGAGATTAGAGATGGGATAGCTGAAGGAAGCATGTTTTTGTGAGCAAGCCCTCCTGCAAGACATAGGGGCAGAGTTCTACACTCCTAGCAGGAGGATTGGGAACAGGGGGGGGTGCAGGGCTAAGGGTCTAACAAGAGCTTCTTTTTTGACTGGCTCTTTGTTTAGTTTGCTTTCTCTAGAAACCTGGCAACCTATATAGCCCCCAGCTAAGCTTAAACCTACCTACATCTCCTGGCTGCGAGTCAAGAGTCACGTGAATTCTCTGCCTCACCTCAATCTGTATCTGCGTATAGTCATTTCCCCACCTCCACCCGGAAAAAAAGTTTGTAAAGACCTGAGGAAACTGGGACGGGCCCTGGGTGACCTGATTTAGCTGAGGTTTCCTGTAAGACTGAGACTCTGAAGGTAATGGGGACACTCAGAGGCAACCTGTGTGGTAAGGCCAGCATTCGCATAAGCACTGGGTTCAGGTGTAGGGTTCCAACTCTGGCTGAGGGGGGGGGAGGGGGATTGCTGGAGATTTGAGAGCGATGCCTGAAATGGACAGAGTTTGGGGAGGGGGCTTAGCAGGGATGTTTCATCCATAGGGGAAAGAGAAGTTCTAAAGCATCGTTTTACTTTTCTCCCTTTCTCACAGTACAAGAACTCGTGGGCACTCAATGAACTTGCTGAGCAGTCGGGTTAGAACTTCTTCACCCAAAGAGTGATTAACACATGGAATTCACTGCCACAGGAGGTGGTGACAGCTACAAGCATGGATGGCTTAAAGAGGGAATTAGATAAGCATATGGAGCAGAGGTCCATCAGTGGCTATTAGCCACAAGGTATAGATAGGGGCTCTGGGGCAAGTGATGCTGTCTTCTTGGTGCTTGGGGGGGGGCAACAGTGGGAGGGCTTCTGGTGTCCTGGCCCCACTGCTGGACCTCCAGATGGCACCTGGAATTTTTGGCCACTGTGTGACAGAGTGTTGGACTGGATGGGCCATTGGCCTGATCCAACATTGGCTTCTCTTATGTTCTTATGGTTCTCAGCAGCCTAGGACCTCTGTTTCTCTAGACCGGGATGTCAAATATAAGGCCCGGGGGCCAGAACCGTCCCGTCCCCGCAAGCAACTTGTATGTATGGAAATATAAGGTACTCCCCCTTTTATGGTATCTCTTGGGAAAAACCTAGTCTTGCACATGATTAAAAACATTTCTTGGGGCTTTTGTGGGCTCCCCAGTAAATCGATTGCTTTCACTGCTAGGAATCAATTGCTTTTATTGGTATTTTGAGTAAAGACTAATATTGTTAATAGGGTTGCCTGTGTCCTTTATATCTCTGGTACCTGGCATTACATTTTATGGCACACATGGACCAGCCTGACAAAGTGACTTTTATGTCAGATCTGGCCCTCATAACAAATGAGTTTGACCCTCTGCTCTAGATTTTATGGCATACCATAGAGGCCACCCACCTAAGCTGCCATTTGCTCCTGGGGACTGATCAGGGGGCTAGTCTGGAGCTCAGTGGTCAGTCTGGGAGAACTCAAGTTTCTACCTCGAGGTTGACAACCCTACCCAACTGTCAGAGGCATAGAAAAGGCGGAAAGGAAGCTGCTACTCAGGCCTTCTCGTCCTGTCTCACGCCCACACTCCTCTGTGATCATACCACCTTGTACGCAAAGGTTACATCCCAAGGGCACAGAAACACATAAGTTGGGTGGAGGAGAACACAGCCTGACGGGGAAGTCCCGCAAAACCAGAAAACGCAATTTGTGTCCAACTTGGGCCAGTTCCACGTAAAAATTCA